GCGAAGGGCGGCGGATGCTGCCAAGGTAGGAGGTGTGCAAAACCAGCTTGAGCGAGGCACCCCCGTTCTCTACCAGGAAGAAACAGGAAAGGTAAGTTAATGGCCAACCCTAATCAGCTATTCATAACGTGGAGAAAGAATCCATCCGGCCGATGGGGCGCATGCTGTAGTCCCAGTAGCTCGGGAGCTGGAGGCAGGAGGATCGGGCTTGAGCGGCAGGAGTTTGAGGTTCTGTGAGCGAGGCTCGCAACGGCACGTCCAGACGCTAGCCGTGGAGAAGGAAGCGAGGACTCTGGTCTCAGAGAGAAAAAAAAGAAAAAATCAAAACTGGTAGCTAATCAGAACAGTGCTGGAAGATGAACCAGGGAGAGGTTAAAGAAAGGTTGTTGTTTTTTTTTCTCGTTTTAGATTGCTTAAATGTTAAGGATATCGTTGGTTGGGGACTCACCGTAATCCTCTCTGCTGCAGCTTCTGATTCTTGTTCTCATCCACAGGGTTCAAAAAGAATGAGATGTATGTGAGAGTACCTTGCGTACTACTTACTTGAGCGGTGTGTTACGCATATGTTAGCAAGAGGATATAATTAGGGGTGTATGCGAGAGAAACCGGCTGTAATCGCCAACATTAGGAAATGAACCAGGCTACTGATGTGCAGCTAAACACGTCGATAGAATTATGCTATGTGGTTAAGCCTCGAACAAGGACCAAAGGACCAGTACCATTAAATTTGCTAACTGATGGAATATGAGCACGGTCTCGCTGTGACTTTTTTTAATTTTTTTTTTTGAGACAGCGTGTCTCACTTGGTTGGCAGGCCTAGACGGGGATGAGTGGCCGTGGGGTCAGGCCCCTACACGAGGGGTCAGACGTGCCTGGGCTCAAGAATTCTGACTAGCCTCAGGCCTCCGAGGTAACTGGACGACAGGATGCGGCGCCTTGCGGTGGCCCGGCTCATTTCTTGCGTCATATTACGGTGTTTGGCCAGTTAATTTCTTTGCTTATTGTATAGGTAGAGGACGGGGGTGCTCGCTCTTGGCTCAGGCTGGTTTTGAACTCCTGACCTGGAGCGATGCCGCTCACCCCGTCGGCGCTCAGCCCGTCGCTGGATGCAGGCCTGAGCCAGGCGCTGGGGCTGCGTGTATTTTCTGTATATTGAGATGATATGGATAAATCGTAAAATCTGGTGTCGATTTTAGAAATTGCCATCTCTATCGAGTAGAGGGATCCAGTAAAACGTTAAATCTTTCTTCTATACACATTTTGTCTCCCTCCGCGGGCCCCCAGAACTCATGGGAGACAGAAACAACGGACTGGGGCCATAGGTTCCTTTGCCGCTGGGAACTCCTCCGGCCAGCCGGACGGCAGGACGAGGTTTCTCTTCGGTCTGTTCTTCTGGATGTATCTGGTCATCCTCTCGGGGAACACGCTCATCGTGCTGGCCATCAGCTGTGACCGTCGTCTCCACACGCCCATGTACTTCTTCTTGGCCAACCTCTCCTGTGTTGACATCTTCTTCGCGACAGTCACCATCCCCAAGATGCTGGCGAACCGCATGTCGGGAAGCAAGTCCATCTCTTACGTGGGGTGCATGACCCAGATCTACTTCTTCGTCGCCTTCGGCAACATGGACGGCTTCCTCCTGAGCGTGATGGCCTACGACCGCTACGTGGCCGTGTGCCGCCCCCTCCACTACGCCATGCGCATGAGGCCCAGCCTCTGTGTCCTGCTGGTGGCCGTGTCCTGGGCCATCACCCACCTGCACGCTCTTCTGCACACTCTCCTCATAGCTCGCCTCGCCTTCTGCTCCAACAATGCCGTGCACCACTTCTTCTGCGACCCCGAGGCCCTCCTGAAGCTGGCCTGCTCTGACACCTCCCTCAACGACCTGGTGGCTTTCACCGTGAGCGGGCTGGTGTTTATGGCGCCGTTCTCGTGCATCGTGGTCTCCTACACTTGCATCTTCTCCACCGTGCTGAGGTCGCCGTCCGTCCGCGGGATTAGGAAGGCCCTGTCCACGTGCGGCTCCCACCTCGCCGTGGTGGCCCTGTTCTACGGGGCTGTCCTGGGCGTCTACATGCGCCCCTCATCCTCCTACTCGGTTCAGGACACGGTGGCCACCGTGGTCTTGACGGTGCTGACGCCGCTGGTCAATCCCTTCATCTACAGCCTCCGGAATCAAGACGTGAAGGGAGCCATAAGGAGGCTAAGTTTCAGGGGACTTGTTCCGTCAAGATTCTAGAACCGAGCCGGGCGCGGTGGCTCACGCCGCCGATTGGCTCTCGCCTGTCATCCTAGCACTTTCTGGAGCCGAGGTGGGGCGGATGCTCGAGGTCAGGAGTTCGAAACCAGCCTGAGCAAGAGCGAAGACTCTGTCTCTACTATAAATAAGAAAGAAATTAATTGGCCAACTATATATATATATAAAAAATTATAGCCGGGCATGGTGGCATCGTGCCTGTAGTCCCAGTTACTGGGGAGGCTGAGACAGGAGGATACTTGAGCCCAGGAGTCTGAGGTTGCTGTGAGCGAGGCTGACGCCACGGCACTCACTCTAGCCTGGGCAACAGAGAGAGACTCTGTCTCAAAAAAAAAAAAAAAAAAAAAAAAAAGATTCTAGAACCGGAAATATTTTAGCATCGAGAGAAACAAGAACAGAGAGACTGGGGCCCGGCAGGTGCAAAACTCACCCACGACTGTACCTCTGATTAGTGATGTGTGATCAGGACCGTGTTTGTGCACATGAGGCTGATGAGTGCTCGCAAGTCGTGAAAGCATTCATCCCTTATCTGTATAATGCCTAATCTCAGGACCCTCAGACACAGACAAAACTAGACTGAGGCCCAGGTGAGTTAGGTGACTGATACAAAGTGACACCTCATTGCATTTTTTTTTTTTTTTGAAACAGAGTATGGCTCTGTTGCCGGGCTAGAGTGCCATGGTGTCAGCCTCGCTCACAGCAACCTCCAATCCTGGCTCAGGTGATCCTCTTGCCTCAGCCTCCCGAGTAGCTGGGACTACAGGCAATGCACCACCATGCCGGCAATTTTTCTATATATTTTTAGTTGTCCAGCTAATTTCTTTTTATTTTTAGTAGAGATGGGGGGAGGGGTCTCACTCTTGTTCAGGCTGGTCTTGAATCCTGACTAATTGGGCCTCCCCGAGTGCTAGGATTACAGGCGTGAGCCACCGCGCCCGGCCACCTCATTGCATTTTTAAGGGTGGATCTAGCAATGTTATAAGATACCAGTCACCAAAATGGTTTGGAAATTGCATATGCCAACTGCGATTTTACCAATATCACACCCCAATTATCTTATTGTGCATAATATTAAGTAAAATAACAGCTGACACTTACTGAATACTGTTCCTATATTAAGGACTATTTCTGTATTATCTTACTTAATTCTCACACAACCTCATGACGTGAGACCAAAAACATTCCCATCTTATAGGAGGAGGAAATTGAATCACCAGAGAGATTAATTTGTCTAATCCCATACAATTACTTATTAGGGCTAGGATGGTCTTGACCACTTGCTCAAAGAGATCCAGTGATTTTCTTTTCATTGTTGTTGCTATTTTTGTTTTTTAGTAATATGCATATGGTAAAGTTGATCTTAAGGGGGTTGTACAGTTCTGAGTTTTAAGACCTATATAGAATCATGAAATCGCCATAATTGTCAGGATACAGAGCGGTTCTGTCTCCTCAAAGTGTTGCCCCATGCCACTGCCTTGTAGTGAAACTGTTCCTCCACTCCTAACCCTGGCAGTCTTTGATAAGTTCTCTACTCCTGGAGTTTTGCCTCTTCCCTGCTGTCATATAGCAGGAACCATAACGCGTATAGTCTCTTCACTCTTTCTTCCTTCAGTCAACATAATGCCTTGGAGTATTAACCCATATTGCTGCAGGTGCCAGTAATTTGTTCCTTCTTTCTTTCTCTGATCCTTCCACTGATGAAAGAATCCCTTCATTTAAAAAAAAAAAAAATCGAGTAATTTTGCATTTCCTTCTATACGTTTTCTAATCACGTGCAACTGATGTGCATGAGGCCGTCGGCATTGTGCTCCTCAAGTTGGGGGGACTCAGGTCTCCCAGGAATGCATTCTAACGCCGATGGGAACTCGAAGTAACCCGATTAACTTGACGTACTTTTTTGGACTGTTGGGTTCATTTAAGAGGCGGTCTGAAATACAATAGGCTGTATGTTGCCGTCTAAATTTAAACGACTCATTTGGCATAATATTCTCCCTTGCACTGCACACATTTTCACATACATTTCTTCCTCGTTGTTCCATCGTGGGTTCATTTTGAACAAGCGCCACAGTTCGCACTTTGTGTCCTGCCTACGACGTTCAGTTCAGTTTTTGTTACTCCTCAATAAACAAGAGTTAAAGAATCAATGATGGTGTGGTAAGCCAAGCTGAATGGGAACTCCAGAAGTGAACATTCCTGGATATCAAAAATCATAGCGATGCAACTGGAAATTGGAGGAACTGAGGTCCGGACTAGGTTACTGCAGGCTTTGAGAAGATTTCACAGTAGGACCTCACTGGGGTCTAGGGAGGCAGCAGGGCTGAATGGGAGGAGTTACGATTCAGAATACAGAATTCACTGGTCAGGGCCGGGCGCGGTGGCTCACGCCTGTAATCCTAGCACTCTGGGAGGCCGAGGGACAGGACCCGCCACTCCCTCCGAGGCTGATCTCCATGGCTACCGTGTCTCGGAGTCGATGCGGAAAGGACTCGTCAAAGACCATAGTTGGCCAACGACTTCCGATTAGTCCCGAGCAAAGCAAGTCTCATGTCTTAGATGTGCTCGGGTTTTATTTCTCCGACATCGGACTTGGATCAAATGCTGCGACGGGCAGTCTGCCAGCGAAAATCAAACGATTTAGCTCCGATCTACGCCACTGCCAGAGGCAGTAGGGTCTGGGGCTCCTTTCATTTGCCTAGAATTACCCCATCCGATGGTAAAGACACGACATCAATTTCATTAACGAAATCTTAAAACAAAATCTCGAGCCGCGCGCCGTCCCACGCTCTTCATTCCCCAGCACTCTGGAGCCGAGGCGGCGATCGCTCGAGGTCAGAGTCGAAGCCAGCCTGAGCAAGAGTGAACCCGTCTCTACTTTTATATAATATAGAAAAAATAAATCTGGCCAACCTAATATATATAAAATCAATTACAGGGCAAGAGCGAACCCGTATCTACAAACAAGTAGAAATACTTACCGGCCGCGATGGCGGCATGCCTGCAGTTCCCAGGCTCTCGGAGGCTAGCACGAGATCGTCTGAGCTCCAACGTTGAGGTTGCCCTTGACGAGCACTGACGCACCACTCTACCCTGCAATAAGATCGGAGACTCTGTCTCAAAAAACAAACAAAAAAACTGGAAAAAAAATATCCGGATTGGAATTCTTTAGGCATGAAGGGGAAACGTCTCGTTCAGCTGTTCTGATAGCTTGGAATCTTTATTATGCTCACATAAATATCCAAACAAAACTCTAACCTCGATCCCACGACTTCTTTCCACATGAATTTGAACGAAGCAGAGGAATTTGATCCCTCCTGAATTACATTTTTAACAAGACAAATGAGTTCCAAGCGCTGCAGTTTGGGAACTTAACCAGCAGAGGGCAGTACGGACAGAGTTTGGTATATTTTGTTTCCTTTCCTTCCCCCATCTTGCCAATCGTTTTCAAACTACTA